GGTTTAACTTTGTCCATTACTTCTGTCTAGAGAAGCAACCTTTGTCATGAGTACTTAGTTGTGTGTGTGTGTGTGCGTGTGTGTGTGTGTGTGTTTATCTTGCATTTTTATACTTATGTGTGTGCATGTATGCGTGTGTGTGTTTATCTTGCATTTTTATACACATGTTTGTGCATGTGTGTGTGTGTGTGTGTGTTTTTTTTTTTTACGGGAATTAGCCTTCCCGGGCACAGGTCAAACGACCCACAACGGAGCCTGGGGGGGCGAAAAAAAAGAACGGAAAGAAATTGAAAATATAGAAAAAAAGGTTATACTGTATTAATCTACACCACGAAGATGCCGGAAAACCAGCTTTTTAAAGTGAGACATTGTATGAGCATGGAAACACAGAAGAAGGCAGAGCATTCCACAGCTTGGCTGTGTGAGGAAAGAAGGAGGCACTATAACGGGTTATTCTCGTGTGACCGATATCCAAAGAGAAATGGTGGGTACCGCGGGCAAGACGTGTGTTACGAACCCACGGCCTTACCGGCGGTACACAGGATGCCAAATCCCCTTAACATTGCCCGTTAAAGTACCTGTAAAAGAGAGAGAGTGAAGCAACATTGCGGCGAAGAGAAAGGGGAGAGAGATTGTCGACTAAAGGAGGAGAGTTAATAAGACGAAATGCCTTTGATTCCACCCTATCTAATAGTTGGACAGAAGAAGAGCCACCCCAGATATGGGAGTAGTACTCCAAGTTAGGACGAATGAATCCCTTATATACTTGAAGCACCTGCTCAGGAGTGAAGTAGCTGCGGCATCTGTACAGCATTCCCAACTTTCGGGAGGCAGCTTTAGTTATACTAAGGATGTGTGATTTCCAGGACATGTTGGAGGAAATGGTGAGGCCTAACATATTTATTTCAGAATTTGGGGGGATGATCGCGTCCTGAAATGTAATTGGTGGGAGATCGTCTACTTTACAAAGTGTAATTGGTAAATATTGAGTTTTGTTACTATTGAACTTAACAAGTTTGTATCTCCCCATTCAGAGATGCTGCACAGATCCGCGTTGATAGAAGTAATGATATCAGGTCTAGAAACAGATCTAGTTTGAGAATTAGGAGGAAGGGGAAAATGTGAGGAAGAGTGAAGAGTAGAATCATCGGCGTAAGAATGGATAGAATTAGTTGTAGTGTGAAGTAAATCATTGATAAAAAGAAGAAAGAGAGTTGGTGAAAGAACAGAACCCTGTGGGACGCCACTATTGGTAGAGAAAGAGCGAGAAATCGATCCCTCGACAACAACTGCCGTGGATCGATTCTCAAGGAAGCTAGAGATGAGAGAACAAAGTGGGGGAGAGAAACCAAAAGAGGGAAGTTTAGATAGCAAAGACTTGTGCCATACCCTGTCAAATGCTTTGGAGATGTCGAGGGCCACGACAAAAGTTCCCCATAATCCCTAAGAGAGGATGACCATAGATGGGTGCAATAGGAGAGCAGATCACCAGTAGATCTTGCCTGGCGAAAGCCATACTGGTGATCCGACAAAAGAGAAAGGCGTTCAAGGTGACGGAGAAAATGGGAGTTGAAGATAGTTTCGAAAATCTTAGAGAGGGATGAAGTTAGGGCAATGGGGCGATAGTTAGAGGGATTAGAATGGTCACCCTTCTTCGGGATGGGCTGAACCAAGGCATGCTTCCAAGAAGAAGGAAAAGTTTTGGTTTTGAGGCAAAGGCGAAAGAGGCGAGCAAGCACAGGGGCCAGGGCTTCAGCACACTCCCTCAGAACACGAGGGGGTATTCCGTCCGGTCCATGCGCCTTACTCACATCCAACCTGGATAACACACCGGCAACCCTGCGAGTGGAGATTATAGGACAGTGCATAGGTTCAGTAGGAGGTGCAGGGGTAGGAGGGGTAGAGTGGGAATCGTCTAAGGTGGAATTAGAGGAGAATAAGGTGCCAAAGAGGTTGGCTTTCTCAGGGGGAGAGTTGGCTATAGAGTTATTGGGACGGAAGAGGGGAGGAAAAGAAAGCGTGCAGAAGTTGTTACAGATGTTTTTAGCTAAGGACCAGAAGGATTTACGAGAGGAAGAATTAGTCAGGACAGCAGTCTTTCTTTTAATAAAATTCCGCTTGGCCCTACGAAGAATAGCCTAACAACGATTCCTAGAAGTAATGAAAGAGGTGTGGGTAATAGGAGAAGGAGATAGTTTCATAGCTCGATATGCCCTATCTCTCACCCTGCAAGCAAGAGAGCAGGAGCGATCAAACCATGATTGTAATGTGAAAGTTTTGGTAGAAGGTGGGATAAATGCACTCATACCGCCCTGTATAACCCCCAGCAATGCTGTCAGCACATGCTGAGGCATCCCGAGTGGAAAAGCAACATTCATCCCAAGGAAAGTCGGTGAAGAATTCTCGCAAGGATTGCCAGCTTGCCCTCCGATAGTGCCATAGTTGACGTTTAGAGAGGGTGGGGGAGGTGGTCGTGCCCAGTTTGATTTAATAGAAATAAGGTTGTGATCAGAAGACCCTAAGGGGGCAAAAATTGAGTATGAATAGTGTGAGGGGTTAGAGGTAAAACAAAGATCAAGAATGTTAGCAAGTTGATCGTGTCGATCAGGAACGCGTGTAGGGTGTTTGATTATTTGTTCCAAATCATTAAGTAAGGAAAAAGAGAGTGCCTCAGCTCCACCTGGGTCATCCCTTGCAGAGCCAAGCCACTCTTTGTGATGTACATTGAAATCCCCTAGGTAGAGGATCTCGGTGTTGGGATGTGTGGATAGCAACGACTCATGGCAAGAAGTGAGATAGTCAAAGAGTTCGAAATAGTTGGTAGAGTTGGGAGAACAGTACAGGAAACAAAGAAAAATAGTCATAGTAGGTAGAGATATTTTGAGCCAGATGACATCATAAAGGGGAGATTCAAGATCCGTGAGTCGGGCTATAGGTGTACGTGTATTGCAGTAGGCGCATACACCTCCCTTAGAACGGAAGTAGGTATAAAGGTTGTAGTTGGAGACTTGAAAATGTTTGGGTGAAGCTGCTTTGGTCAGTTGAAGTTCGGAGATCGGGGGAAGAGATTAATAGATGGTGCTCCACAGAAGAAAAATTGGATCTCAGTCCGCGAATGTTGGAGAAATGAAGCGTGAAAAAAGCCGATCCTCCAGCAACCGTAGTGGCGTCAGTTGAGGCCCCAGTAGCTTGATGATCAGGTCGGCCCTGGGGTCCACAACCTTCCCGACCAGTGGGACCCATCCGAGAAGGCCCCGCTTCAGTATTAATATCAACTGACATAGGAGAATAAAATAGAATGAATAAAACAGATCAAGAATGAGTAAGGTTTTAGTTGTGGTGTTGTCAATAGTAAGAGAGACAGTTGAGACCCTGCAATTGTGTGTAAATGAGGCAGAAAGATAGATCAGCAACCTGGGACTTGGTCACAATTTTCGTGATGCCATATAGCAGCAAGGTCTACCATTAGACAACACATTATGCTTCCAATATCTTCCCAGGCGGTAGTACCTCCCTGTTTGGTAGCTGCCTACTACCTACTACCTACCAGCAGTTGTGTATTATGTGAGTATTGTATTATTATATTGTAAGGAGTCATTATATTCTGAAATGTACGATGTGATCACCTCTGTATGTTTTTTTTTCGTTAATTGTTGGACTGTCCTCTACGTTATGTGGATATGTTGTCTAAACTGTCAGCTGAGGTGTGACACCAGCCAGTCAGGACAATTGTACCCTGACCCACGTTGAAAGAGGATCACTTGTAACTTAGAGAACAGCCAACCCCAACTCCCTGTTTGCTTCATCTTGTCTGTATAACATTGGACTTTAACTTATTGTTTTTACTTTTTTATTTATAAAATGTGAACCTATCCAAGTATCTTTCGCCCTGACTGTGAACTCCCAGACAATTACTTAGTGCATATATATCAATGTTTACAACAACTTTTTCTCTACTTTCAGATGATTGGAAAATGTTAAACCATGTGCTGGAGAGCCAGGAAGTCTTTAACGGTAATATACAAGCAAGTAATTATTTACTGTAAGAGGTAGAATCATACCATGTACACACAATAAAAATATAGTGTTAGACAATATGACACAACAGACTAAGGATTTTGACAAACCTACTGAGATAACAGGAGTAACAGTGTTCGTTTTGAAAGTCATCAGACCGATCCATTTTGATAGTTTTGTGATTGTGTTAAGTGTATGTTGTGGGTTATTTTAAAGTGAGTAAAACTACAGTATACTACCAGTGAACTGCCTCTAGTAGGGCTTAGGGTGATAAACCTGAGGTACTGGGTGACAACCACCGCTCATTACCACCCATGATGAACAACTGACTGTACACTGAGCATGTAGTGAGTACATGAGTTGAATGTATGAAATGAGTACATGAGTTGATTGTATGTAGTGAGTACATGAGTTGAGTGTATGTAGTGAGTACACGAGTTGAATGTATGAAATGAGTACATGAGTTGAATGTATGAAAAGAGTACATGAGTTGAGTGTATGTAGTGAGTACATGAATTAAGTGTATGTAGTAACTACATGAGTTGAGTGTATGTAGTAACTACATGAGTTGAGTGTATGTAGTGAGTACATGAGTTGAGTGTATATAGTGAGTACATGAGTTGAGTGTATGTAGTGAGTGCATGAGTTGAGTGTATGTAGTGAGTACATGAGTTGAGTGTATGTAGTGAGTACATGAGTTGAGTGTATGTAGTGAGTACATGAGTTGAGTGTATGTAGTGAGTACATGAATTGAGTGTATGTAGTAAGTACATGAGTTGAGTGTATGTAGTGAGTACATGAATTGAGTGTATGTAGTGAGTACATGAGTTGAGTGTATGTAGTAAGTACATGAGTTGAGTGTATGTAGTGAGTACATGACTTAAGTGTATGTAGTGAGTACATGAGTTGAGTGTATGTAGTGAGTACATGAGTTGAGTGTATGTAGTAAGTACATGAGTTGAGTGTATGAAGTGAGTACAGTACTCACATACACTCAACTCATGTACTCAGTACATGAGTTGAGTGTATGTAGTGAGTACATGAGTTGAGTGTATGTAGTAAGTACATGAATTGAGTGTATGTAGTGAGTACATGAGTTGAGTGTATGTAGTGAGTACATGAGTTGAGTGTATGTAGTAAGTACATGAGTTGAGTGTATGTAGTGAGTACATGAATTGAGTGTATGTAGTGAGTACATGAGTTGAGTGTATGTAGTAAGTACATGAGTTGAGTGTATGTAGTGAGTACATGACTTGAGTGTATGTAGTGAGTACATGAGTTGAGTGTATGTAGTGAGTACATGAGTTAAGTGTATGTAGTGATTACATGCGTTAAGTGTATGTAATGAGTACATGAGTTGAGTGTATGAAATGAGTACATAAGTTGAGTATATGTAGTGAGTACATGAGTTGAGTGTGTGTAGTAAGTACATGAGTTGAGGGTATGTAGTGAGTAGATGAATTGAGTGTATGTAGTGAGTACATGAGTTGAGTGTATGTAGTGAGTACATGATATGAGTGTATGAAATGAGTACATGAGTTGAGTGTATGTAGTGAGTACATAAGTTGAGTGCATGTAGTGAGTACATGAGTTGAGTGTATGTAGTTAGTACATGAATTGAGTGTATGTAGTGAGTATATGAGTTGAGTTTATGTAGTGAGTACATGAGTTGAGTGTGTGTAGTGAGTACATGAGATGAGTGTATGAAATGAATACATGAGTTGAGTGTATGTAGTGAGTACATGATATGAGTGTATGAAATGGGTACATGAGTTGAGTGTATGAAATGAGTACATGAGTAGAGTGTATGTAGTGAGTGCATGAGTTGAGTTTATGTAGTGAGTACATCAGTTGAGTGTATGTAGTGAGTGCATGCGTTGGGTGTATGTAATGAGTACATGAGTTGAGTGTATGAAATGAGTACATAAGTTGAGTGTATGTAGTGAGTACATGCGTTGAGTGTATGTAGTGAGTACATGAGTTGAGTGTATGTAGTGAGTACATGAATTGAGTTTATGTAGTTAGTTCATGAGTTGAGTGTATGTAGTGAGTTCATGAGTTGAGTGTATGTAGTGAGTACTTGATATGAGTGTATGAAATGGGTACATGAGTTGAGTGTATGAAATGAGTACATGAGTTGAGTGTATGAAATGAGTACAAGAGTTAAGTGTATGTAGTGAGTACATGAGTTGAGTGTATGTAGTAAGTACATGAGTTGAGTGTATGAAATGAGTACATAAGTTGAGTGTATGTAGTGAGTACATGAGTTGAGTGTATGAAATGAGTACATAAGTTGAGTGTATGTAGTGAGTACATGAGTTGAGAGTATGTAGTGAGTATATGAGTTGAGTGTATGTAGTGAGAACATGAGTTGAGTGTATGTAGAGAGTACATGAGTTGAGTGTATGAAATGAGTACATAAGTTGAGTGTATGTAGTGAGTATATGAGTTGAGTGTATGTAGTGAGTACATGAGTTGAGTGTATGTAGTTAGTACATGAGTTGAGTGTATGTAGTGAGTACATGAGTTGAGTGTATGTAGTGAGTACATGAGTTGAGTGTATGAAATGAGTACATGAGTTGAGTGTATGTAGTGAGTACATCAGTTGAATGTATGAAATGAGTACATGAGTAAAGTGTATGTAGTGAGTACATGAGTTGAGTGTATGCAGTGAGTACATGATATGAGTGTATGAAATGGGTACATGAGTAGAGTGTATGAAATGAGTACATGAGTTGAGTGTATGAAATGAGTACATGAGTTAAGTGTTTGTAGTGAGTACATGAGTTGAGTGTATGTAGTGAGTCCATGAGTTGAGTGTATGAAATGAGTACATAAGTTGAGTGTATGTAGTGAATACATGAGTTGAGTGTATGTAGTGAGTACATGAGTTGAGTGTATGTAGTGAGTACATGAGTTGAGTGTATGTAGTAAGTACATGAGTTGAGTGTATGTAGTGAGTACATGAATTGAGTGTATGTAGTGAGTACATGAGTTGAGTGTATGTAGTGAGTACATGAGTTGAGTGTATGTAGTGAGTACATGAGTTAAGTGTATGTAGTGATTACATGAGTTAAGTGTATGTAATGAGTACATGAGTTGAGTGTATGAAATGAGTACATAAGTTGAGTATATGTAGTGAGTACATGAGTTGAGTGTGTGTAGTAAGTACATGAGTTGAGTCTATGAAATGAGTACATAAGTTGAGTGTATGTAGTGAGTACATGAGTTGAGTATATGTAGTGAGTACATGAGTTGAGTGTATGTAGTTAGTACATGAGTTGAGTGTATGTAGTGAGTACATGAGTTGAGTGTATGTAGTGAGTACATGATATGAGTGTATGAAATGAGTACATAAGTTGAGTGTATGTAGTGAGTACATGAGTTGAGTGTATGTAGTGAGTACATGAGTTGAGTGTATGTAGTGAGTACATGAGTTAAGTGTATGTAGTGAGTGCATGCGTTGAGTGTATGTAATGAGTACATGAGTTGAGTGTATGAAATGAGAACATAAGTTGAGTGTATGTAGTGAGTACATGAGTTAAGTGTATGTAGTGAGTACATGAGTTGAGGGTATGTAGTGAGTAGATGAATTGAGTGTATGTAGTGAGTACATGAGTTGAGTGTATGTGGTGAGTACATGATATGAGTGTATGAAATGAGTACATGAGTTGAGTGTATGTAGTGAGTACATAAGTTGAGTGTATGTAGTGAGTACATGAGTTGAGTGTATGTAGTGAGTACATGAATTGAGTGTATGTAGTGAGTATATGAGTTGAGTTTATGTAGTGAGTACATGAGTTGAGTGTGTGTAGTGAGTACATGAGATGAGTGTATGAAATGAATACATGAGTTGAGTGTATGTAGTGAGTACATGATATGAGTGTATGAAATGGGTACATGAGTTGAGTGTATGAAATGAGTACATGAGTAGAGTGTATGTAGTGAGTGCATGAGTTGAGTTTATGTAGTGAGTACATCAGTTGAGTGTATGTAGTGAGTGCATGCGTTGGGTGTATGTAATGAGTACATGAGTTGAGTGTATGAAATGAGTACATAAGTTGAGTGTATGTAGTGAGTACATGCGTTGAGTGTATGTAGTGAGTACATGAGTTGAGTGTATGTAGTGAGTACATGAATTGAGTTTGTGGTGCTGTCCATGAGCTGGAGTGTAGTGAGTCTGGCGAGCTGAGAGAGAGTATGAAATGGGTACATGAGTTGAGTGTATGAAATGAGTACATGAGTTGAGTGTATGAAATGAGTACAAGAGTTAAGTGTATGTAGTGAGTACATGAGTTGAGTGTATGTAGTGAGTACATGAGTTGAGTGTATGAAATGAGTACATAAGTTGAGTGTATGTAGTGAGTACATGAGTTGAGTGTATGAAATGAGTACATAAGTTGAGTGTATGTAGTGAGTACATGAGTTGAGAGTATGTAGTGAGTATATGAGTTGAGTGTATGTAGTGAGAACATGAGTTGAGTGTATGTAGAGAGTACATGAGTTGAGTGTATGAAATGAGTACATAAGTTGAGTGTATGTAGTGAGTATATGAGCTGAGTGTATGTAGTGAGTACATGAGTTGAGTGTATGTAGTTAGTACATGAGTTGAGTGTATGTAGTGAGTACATGAGTTGAGTGTATGTAGTGAGTACATGAGTTGAGTGTATGAAATGAGTACATGAGTTGAGTGTATGTAGTGAGTACATCAGTTGAATGTATGAAATGAGTACATGAGTAAAGTGTATGTAGTGAGTACATGAGTTGAGTGTATGCAGTGAGTACATGATATGAGTGTATGAAATGGGTACATGAGTAGAGTGTATGAAATGAGTACATGAGTTGAGTGTATGAAATGAGTACATGAGTTAAGTGTTTGTAGTGAGTACATGAGTTGAGTGTATGTAGTGAGTCCATGAGTTGAGTGTATGAAATGAGTACATAAGTTGAGTGTATGTAGTGAATACATGAGTTGAGTGTATGTAGTGAGTACATGA